CATACACACACACACTCAGATACACACACACTCACTCACACACACACACACACACACACACGCACACTCACACACACATTCATGTATATACACACACACACGTACACAAACTCACTCACACACACACATACACACAGACAAACACATACACACACACTCTCACACACTCATGCATACAGACAAACACATACACACACACTCTCACACACTCATGCATACAGACAAACACATACACACACACACTCACGCATACACACACACACATGTATATACACACACATACACACACTCACTCACACATACACAATCAGACACACACATATACGCATAAACACATACACACACAAATACATATACACACACATATACACACGCTCACACACACACACACTACGCACGCACACACAGGCACATACACACACACATATGCACCCTCACAAACACACACAGATACACACACACATATATACACATACACACACACATACAAATAACTCACTCACTCACACACATACACACTTACACATATAGAAATACACACACACAAACACACACACAAAAACATACACACACACACTCACACACACAGACACACACACACAGACACATACACACACGCAAATACACACACACACAATCACTCACACATACACAAACACATACGTATACATACACACACACACACTCACAGACACACACACATACACACACACATATACACACACACAGATACACACACACACTCACTCATTCACACATACGCACACTCTCTCACACACACACTCACACACACATATGCAGTGACACAGACACACAAATATTTATTTTGCAGCTTTTAATTGATCCCGAAATGAATGATTCTGTTGCTAATTGCAGAGCGATACCAATAACCAAAATTAAAACAAACTTTCAGGCAACGTGGGCAGAGTTTTTGTGAGACAAAGCATTGATGTATCACCATCAATGGGGTGAGGATCTCTGTACCTACCAGCCTCTTCAAGGGTGGTCCCAGGGTACTATTGCTTCCCTCCCCCTGTCCCTGACCCCAACCCGTCCGTCTCCAAAACAAGCCCTGTCCCTGAGCTGATCGGGGTGGGGAGTGGGGCGGGCCATGTCCCCTGTCGCTGTCGGATCCTCTGCCTTTCCCACAGCCCTCAGGCTCTGTCTGGAGTCCCTACAGTCTGGTCGCTGAGACCCTTCGGCCCCTCCAGTGCGAAGCCCATGTAGCCCAAAGTCCTACTGTCCAGAGGGCGCTGCCTCTAATGGTGTGTGCCTGTCCTAGAACTTTTCTCCAACGCCACGAAGTCCCCAAAATCAACCAAGGAGCCTCCAAAGCGTCCCCACCCCCTCCATTTCCGAGGGAAAAAATATATCGCCTCAATCGTCCCTCTGATCCTCCTGGACTCCTATCTCCAAATGCATCCTGTGTTTGTGGGGGTGTGAATGGGGGTCTCTCCTGAGCAGGCTGTAGGCAGCCTGGGGTTAACTGTTATTTTATTGGGAGGGGTGTCCGCCGGGGGGAGAAAGGTATGTATTTTCAAATCATGGACAGACTCAGGAGGGGGATAGAGAGAGAGAGAGACAGAGGGAAGGAGGGAAAGGCTTTAGGAGGAGTCTGCGCCGGAGGTTTTGCGGGGTTCGGAGGAAGCGGGGGAGGGAGCTGAATCTGAAAATGGGAGTAACGGTCCTTCAGCTGGGTTGTGGGGGTTGGGGAGGGCTCAGAAACACAGGGATAAACACAGCCCCAGGGGCTGCGGTGGGGTGAGGGGGGGTGCTTCTGTCTGTGCTAGAGATGGGAGGGAGGTGCCAGGAACGTGGAGCCAAGACAGGTTGATGCACCCGACAAATGCAACCTCACTGGATGGAGGCTGAACGGCCTCCCCCTGTTCCACTGTAACAGGCTGGAGGAGGGGAGCTGCATGTCCTCCTCTTCCAATTTAGCAGGCTTGAGAAGTCCCCAGTCCCCAGTCCCCAGCCCCCGGGCCCCAGCACACAGCCCCCAGTCCCCAGGCCCCAGCACCCAGCCCCCAGTCCACAGTCCCCAGCCCCCAGGCCCCAGGCCCCAGGGCCCAGGCCCCAGCACCCGTCCCCAGTCCCCAGTCCCCAGCCCCCAG